AATCATAAAAAATAAAAATTCAAACTTCCAAACTGTAGTAATGCTTTTTGTAAATCAGGCCAAGTGTGTTGGGCACTGCTACGTTGATGTAATGAAGCAAAACTAAATGTATTCAAAACAATACACCAAGGGTGTCAAACTAATTTTTGTTGCGGGCCACATTATAGTTACCGATTCCCTTGGAGGGCCATTATGACTCTGAAACCATATAAGGAAGTCAAGAATAATGGTTTATTCAACTATAGTTGAAGTTACTGTAATGAGGGGTTTTGGTAACAAGAAAACTTACAATAGCTCTCTTATATATTGCATACGAGAATTGGAAATTTTGGTAAAAACTTGAGTAAGCATCATCGAAGTCAACATATTTGATTTGTTTTCGCAGGCCACATCGAATGATGTGGCGGGCCAGATCTGTCCCCCGGGCCATGAATTTGACACCAATGCAATACACAGAGAGATGGTGACATCTTTGCAACGTCGTTTTTCTCAGAAGAGCAGAGTGGAATTGATTCACCTGCTGAGGTGCTTGAATCTGAAATGTTTTGCGAACTTAAACAGTAGATGCTTCTACAATACCCTCAAAACCTCCGCTACGACGTTATTATACTATTCTGAATCCAATTCTGCATCATCACCGACAATATGTGGGCATGGAAAATGTCTGTTCCACCCCCCCGCGTTGTCCAGACAGCAGCACAATTTCATCTTGACAGATACCTTCACAATAAGAGCATATTGTCCTGAAGAAAGAATAATGACTATAGAAAGATGAAGGGAAGCCACCACATTATAGAGCATTAGGCCACTGAGTACCAGAAGAAGCATTACAGAAAGAAGAGCGGATGATGAAAGGAGGGATGAGGAGGGAGGTAGGGGGGGGGGGGGGACAGCAAGGTCCAGAGAAAAGAGCCAGTGGTGATAAAACGGAGCACTAATCCGGCCTCCGACACAGGGATTAAATTGCTCTCTTGCTGCACAACGGTGGAGGTTAAGCAGGCTGTCCATTCCCTAAAACACCTCTCTTTTTCTCATCCCTTCTAATGGCATTAGAGAGGTGGAAGTCTTTAATTAGGGTTACGGAATGAAGAGAGTGTGCGGCTTTTCCGCTGAGAATGCACACACACAAAAGTAGGCAGGGCATGACTGGTGTTGGAGCAGTGGCGTAGTGCAGCGGTCCCCAACCTTTTTTGCCCCACGGACCGGTTTATTGTCAAACAATATTTTCAGGGACCGGCCTTGAAGGTGTGACAGATAAATACAACAAAATAATATAATATGACCTGCATGGAAATGATGGTATTTTCGAAACATAATAATAAAAATGAATCATGACAAAAGGAACGTCCTACCTGGCCGCAACATTCTCTGGTCGTGATGGTAACATTTAAACCTGCCTTCAAAATAAGATACAAAGCGCATGAAAAATACGACTCACCATCGCCGCATATTATGCAGAGTGGGCTTGATGCGTGGGAATCTCCCTTTGAGATAAATCCGTATTTTAAGTAGGACCCTGGATATTGTAAATTAAATGTAGCTTTCTTTATCTTGGGAGTCGTCTTCTGCCTTCTGGCTGGGCCATTTCCCGTTCCCGAAGAAACTTTCCAAAGACGTTTGTTTTTTTTACTCATTTTGCTAGCTCCCGGGTTTCATTTCAGCGGTAACCTATCGCGTGACAGAGAAGCACGCCTTGACCTGCGTCAAGACTGACATACTGTAGACTGATCTAATGGAGAATCCAGTAAATTTTCAGATTCCGAAATGAATGAAACGGAAGTAATGTAAATAATTTATGCTTTCTGTGCGGCCCGGTGCCAAATGACCCATGTACCGGTCCATGGCCCGGGGGTTGGGGACCCCTGGCGTAGTGGATCGCCATGCGAAAAGGGGGGCTTTGGATTTGTTTAACCCTTTCATGCACCAATAATGAAAACCTGTAACGTGATAACACTGCCATAAGATGTCCACTATAGTAACCGCTATCCCTGAAAGGGTTAAGACGCTGAATTGTCCATAGTCAAATTCTTGTTCCAGCTAACCCGAGACACAAATGAGGACAAGCTGTACAAAAAAAACATGCTTTGATGTTTTTTTTTTTCCTTTTCATTTTCACTGTCCTTGCTGCTCAGTACATTGTGGCCAAGTAAAAAAATAAGTCAGTCTGCTGATGTATGAAAGGTTATTTTTCAGGGTGAGTTGAAAAGAAAAAAAAAAATCATATTAATTTTTCCAGCCCAGCAAACCTCACTCCATTCTTTTCCCACCATTCTAATTTGTAAGATATAAGCAATTCAGATATAATATTGCAACACAAAAGAGTATTTTAAATCAAGTCTGTGTCCTTTATTATGTAAAAATATGCCCGCATCCAACTGTGCCCTCACTTTATTCACCATTAAAGTGTGGCATAACTCGGGTGGGAAAGTGGTTTGTCTCTCAACCCATCAGTGATGGGGTTTGATTCTGAGAGCCTGTTGCGACCATGTCGAACTGCCCTTCACCAAGTTTCTGAAATCCACAAGTTGCTTTGACTGTATTATCCGAAGATTTTCACCATTTATCATGTTTGGGTTTTGCTGGGAGGTGGAGATTCGGCGGCCGACATCGGGCAAAAATAGATCGCACCCTGGACTGGTTAGACACATACAGGGACTGAAAAGCATTCACACTTGACATTCACACTATCAGTGTGAACAGAACCCACATCACCTGCAAATCAAGTCTGCTGAGTGAAATACTACCGTATTTTTCGGATTATACGTCGCTCCGGATTATAAATCGCACCAGCCAAAAAATGCATAATTAAGAAGGAAAAAACATATATAAGTCGCACTGGAGTATAAGTGGCATTTTTGGGGGAAATTTATTTGATCAAATCCAACACCAAAAACGTACGTCATCTTAAAGGCAATTTAAAATAAAATTAAAACTAGAGAACAGACTGAATAAGTGTACGATATGCTAACGTTACATGACGCTTAAACAACAAACTGTGAATGTGCCTGGTATGTTCACGTAACATATTAAGAGTTATTTAGACAACTACAGCACAAAGAACATGCTAACAAATTTACCAAACCATCAGCGTCACTCCAAATCACGAAATTCAATGAAATCTTCATGCTCGCTGTCACTTTTAAACAACTCCGCCAACTCCGGAGGTAGAAGATGCAGCGCTTCCTCGTCTACGTCGCTTACGTCAGAGTCATCGTCAGTAGTTTTTCTCAGTTACCGCCAATGTGGAAAGTATCAACACAGGCCGAGAGCACCATCTTGTGGTTTAATGTGAAAATAACATGTGATGTGTACAATGTGTTAACCATTTCACACATAAGTCACTCCAGGGTATAAGTCGCACCCCCGGCCAAACTATGAAAGAAACTGCGACTTATACTCCGGAAAATACGGTACACGATTAATGACTACAGGTATTTCCAAATCCGAGTCTCTGGAAGGTTTAGGTCTGGAAAAACGGAAAAAATTAAAAATGACATCCCCACTCTCAGTTCCTGCAGTGGTAATTGCATATGAAAGCGAGGAATGCATTTGAATGCGTGCAACATCATCTTCATCTCTCTCGCCGCAGCACTCACTTGACACCGTTACCATAGTAACATCCGCACGTCTGGACTCTGCCACCCAAGGCTGCGCTGAATTCTTTCATTAAGAAATGTCCGGATATCCGTTCGTAAATGAGCAGCACCGGCCTCACTTGACACTGCAAACCAATTACGACAGCCAGGGCAAGCCAAAACCAACTGCAGAGGAAGGAAACGTCGCCACTTGAGTGAAATGCGCTCGGTGAAGTCAAACAAGTGCTCACCTCCACATAGCGGGCATGTTCTTACAGGTGTTAACTGCCTGGAAAGAGCGCATATGGAGAGGCCATCATCATGGCGCCATCTATAAAACATGAGCCGTCCCCCCTCCCCCAAAAATAACAACTGATTTTATTTCATTAGTTTCCAATCAGTGGCAGCGGGTGCAAACAATACTCTAACCCTTCTCAAATTCTTACTATTTTCTTCGTTGACCCACTTAAACATTTATGATCGAATCATTAAACTCCAAATACCGTATGATATTATTATAAAGATCAGTTACGCTGCGACAAAGTGCTGGTAATTAAAATCTTTCACAAGTGACGAACTCATTTGATGATATTTTTAACTCAATTATTACAAAGCATTAAAATTATGAGAGGCATTTCTACATTTTAAAAATTCAAAAGTAAACACAGTGTGAAATCACTTCAGAAAATCCCAGATGAAATATTTTTATGTCACAAGTAAAGTAATTAGGGCGGCCCGGTGGTTGGCTGGTTAGCGTGACAGCCTCACAGTGCAGAGTTGCAGGGTTCGATTTCGGCTCTGGCCTTCCTGTGTGGAGTTAGCATGTTCTCCCCGAGCAGATGTGGGTTTTTTCCGGGTACTCCGCTTTCCTTCCACATTCCAAAAACATGCATGGCAGGTTAATGGAACACTCTAAATTGTCCCTCGGTGTGAGTGTGAGCGCGGATGGTTGTTCGTCGATGTGTGCACTGCGATTGGCTGGTAACCGGTTCAGGGTGTCCCCCGCCTACTGCCCGAAGACCGCCAAGAAACACCTACCATGTTACTTAAGTTGAAATAAATAAATGTTAACATTCTTCTTCTGTTTTAATTCTTCTTAGCCAGTCACAGTGTCCCAACACATGCAAACAAATTAGAAGTTAACAACAATTCTTAAATGGACTGGGTTCACCTTTAGATGGATGACACGCAATAATATTCAAAATGACATGATGGATCAATCTTGGCAGTGCATGTGCTCGCCTATCAAAAAAAAAAAAAAAAAAAAAAAAAGTGAGAGGGCAGCCATCGTTTCAAATGAGAAATGCCAAAATACTTGACAATGACAGTATGTGACATTGAAGTGGAGCTTCCGTCTCATTGTACTGTGACGGCTTTTCAGCCGGACAAGGATGGATTCTGTTCACCAAATGAATACAGACAAGGCCAAATAAACCGCGGATAGTTTAATGGATTCAAATAATACAATACAGACTTTTTTTGTACTAAAGTCACGGCGATGAGGCCGCAAAACTATGCGCGAAAAAGAAAAACCACCACTCTTGAAAGTGCACCATCGAAACAATAATGCCATGCGCAGTCCCCATACATTCATCTTTTTTACCGCTAGACAAGCAGCAGAAATCTGGACGCAAACGCAAGTTGACATTCATGCACGCATGAAAGAGCCTTGGATGAATCTTTACCATTTAAATCGGCCAAACAGCCTCTAATGGTCTCATAAAAAAATGGATTTGAAAGTGTATTGAGCCAGACCTCGAACCCGCTAACTCTTTTTCTTTTTTTTTCTGTGGAAAATGTAGCAGTTCCGATTCATCACATCATTTCAATGGTTGGTACTGCAGATGAATAGCATACAAGAAAAAAAACATTTCAACAACAAGGCAGGCCGAGGGCACCGTCTATCTCCCGGAATTCAACACAAAATCACGATCGAAGGTGATGCTCTCAGAAGTAGTGTCAAAGCCTTGGTCGGAAATTCTCCTTCTTCATCCATGGTTGACCAGGTAGTTCTAAATGGAAAAAAAAATAAAGAAATACTCATTGAGAATAAGGTGAAAGAGGGGAAAAAAGAAAAATAAGATCAAAGAGAAGAAAAAATGTAATAGGCTGGATAGGTGGATAGATAAATGAACGCATAAATGTCATCACAACAAACTATATAATTGCACTGTATAAAAATGCCTTTGCATCATATAAAGAAAACTGAAATCTACAATCACATTTATATATTCCAGACACTAAATTGCTTTGCATCGTCCTGGTTAGCAGGTCGGCCTCACAATGCACAGGTGCAGGGTTCGATTCCCGCGACGGCTTTCCTATGTGGAGTTTGCATGTCCGCGCAAATTTCGATCACGCGATGCACAAGATTTGCGCCAGTCATGAAAACAGAGCCGCATGACTCATTGGTGTCAAGCAATCATGAGTGGCACAGGTTGCATACTTAACTCTTTCATTCCACAAGACGTACTTGTACTCTTTTTAAAATTAGGCCCCGCCTACCAAGGACATACTTCTACTCTAAGTCTTTTTTTTGCGTCATAGAGAGGAGGCGTGTCTGATGCAATCTGTGAATGAGAATAAGCCGTTTGCATTGTAAATCATGTAAAAAAAACGACCAGCAGGTGGCAGTGGTGCCTCACGTGCTTGAAATGCATGCTTTTACAAAAAGCTTTTTCTCTGTTTTTTTTGCCCAGGAATCGCCATTTTCATGAAACTTAGCCATTTTGTAATGCCGATTGCTGAAGAATGGAAAAAGATAGAAACAAAATGTTTTTTTTCTGCTGAAAGAAGAGAGTCCAAACTTTATTTTGGTATGCTTATATGGCATTAGAACCAAATGTTCTGTGGGCCTTGCAAGATCAGTCAAAATGCAGTAAAACGCTGGGATAGAGTGGGTTGCTCCAGTGAAAATGGCTGGAATTGAATGAGTTAAGATAAATCCAATTTTGCTAACACGTGACCTCTAATGCACTGACACATTGTTTAGCTATGAGATAACAAAGGCTGGGAAAAAAAAAAAACATCTTGCTGAAAGGTACTAGACAATTTCAGGTTGCTAGACAAAAGAAAGGCCTCAATTTGATTGTATTTAACAGTTCAAAAACTTGTATGTACAACTCCAACACAAACTTTTTTTAAAGTCACTTCAATGGCGAAACAGATGACTATTTCACTTGACAAAACAACCCCCAAAAATCAATAAGAAAAATTTAAGGACAACGTAAATATGAGCCAACTTTCTGTAGACGCTCGACAAACTATTGGAAAGCACGATGCAACCAATTTAAAAGTTCCAGATAAAAGTCTTCACAAGAGCTACAAAAGGCAAAAATAATGCAATGTGGCATGTTGTTTATTTATTGACGAAAGACGAGAGAAGAAAAGGAAATTGATCTCTCTGGGACTACACGAATCGGGGTGCAATCACAAAAGAGGCAGATGGAATGTGTGACAAAAGGACTTGGAAAAAAGGACGGTGGGTATAAAATGGACTGCTTTGATAATACCGTGGCTTGGATGCGACAAAGAACAGTGAAAACCCCCCACTGTTGCCCTCTCTTATCCCAGCTGGGGGCCTCGAGTTCCACAATACCGATTCGTATGTGTGAAGGTGGAGGCGGCAAAATCCAGAGTGAAATTAGTGTTAAGTTTGTGCGACGAGGCATTCTATGGAACACACAACAAGCAGATGTTGAATGACTATCTGGGTCCTCTATCAGACGGTGTCGAAAAGAGGTTAAAACCAGTGCTGGTAAGGTCAGGGTTCACCCTGTGTACGAAAATGCCTCACCGCGGAGGTAATTTTCAGTGCCTCCTCGTCTATGTCTTTCCACCCCTGAACTTTTTTTTTTTTTTTCTTGGTAGGAAGCCGCGAGGTGTCTGAAGGCCACGAGCTCGATAAAAGACTTGACTTTTTGATAGCACGCGGCAGAGCAACAAAAGGGTGGAGAGAAGAGGAAGAAAAAGTGAAGTGATAATGGAGGATGGGGACAAGAAGATGGCTGGCTGATAAAGAGAATGGAAAATGAAAAAAGAATGACGACCGTATGTGTCACAACAAGGGCTTCAAATGATGAAGGCAGGCATATTTCACATTTGGAAGAAGAGGACGGGTTGTGGCATGTCAGAACACATTTTTGTGATTTTGCAGGGCTTCAGACTAACATTTATTTATTTTTATTTTTTTACTAGTAACACAGTCGAGTTGGCATATATAGGACGCATAGAATAGAAGCTCACTGAGCCGTATATCAAAAATAGTAAATACCGTATTTTCCTGCACTATAAGGCGCTTCGGAGTATAAGGCGCACCTTCAATGACTGGCCTATTTTAAAACTGTTTACATATATACGGCGCACCGCATTATAAGGAACATAGAAGCTACAAGAGTGGCTGTGGTTACATTATGCATCCACTAGATGGCGCTACGCTAAAGGGAATACAATGCAATACAGTTTTATTTATATGGAGCTTTCACAACCACTGCAGCTGTAACAAAACGCCCTGCAGAACATTTAAAATACTACGTCTAAGAAATCAGAATATTGATCCATAAGTAAGGCGCATCGGACTGTAAGGCACGCTGTCGGCTTTTGAGAAATTTGAATGCTTTTAGGTGTACTTTATAGTGCAGAAAATACGGGACTTCATGTTTCAGATTCATTTTTTTCCATTTCATCTTTAGCATCTTTGTACTGGACAATTTGCATTCATGGCAATGGCTGTGTATTTACCTCACTAAAATCAAGACATTGTCATTTGCACACAGGAATGAATATTACATATGATACATAAATAAGATAAGAAAATCTTTATTTGTCCCACAATGGAGAAAATTGCAATCTACAGCAGCAAAATTGAAGGTTCGATGCTTCAAATAATAAATCAATTTTTATCACAATATTTACTTTGCACTTACATTCCAATCTCACTTTCTTATACTCCTGTGTTTGAACACGGGACTCTATTACAGGATCATTTATCTCCAAATTTTGGCAGCTGTCACGTCAATGTTGAATTTTCTCATTCTGCCGAGCACTTATGCCCCCATCTGTCAACCACCTACTCAGTATCATTTTCTCTAGTATGCACCGTTTCCTCCCTGTTGTTTTTTTTCAATTTCTTGGCGTTCTGCATTTTAACACTTTCTTCATTTTAATTGATCCTGGTTTTGACATCTCACAAACATACGTATTTCTCTCTCGGTGCAAATCAGTGTGTTCTTTTCCCAAACCGTTTTCATTACATTTCCGATCTGTTGGGCCCTTACTTAGCTCAATCACATTTTGTCTTCTTCATCTTTTCATTTGATTGCCTCATTATCGACAGGCACAGTAGCCATGCTCATGTGATCTCAGTAACAGCACGACTTGTGCGCAAAAGGGGAGTGGGAGGGATGAATATAAAAGAATATTTAAAGAACTATTTAGATTCATGGAGTGGATGTTCGGGGAAAACTCAGCATGCATGGTGTTTGCTTTGAAAGTGGATCTGTCTGTGCAAGAGTGAAGTATTTTCACTTTTTCGGTTTCCTCTGGTTTTCACACAGCAAGAAATCGAAATTTTACACATAGAACATCTCATAAAGACACTTTCTATACCCCCGCAGCATCTTACCCAAGAATAAGATTTAGTAGAATTTCTTTCCAATTGCAAAGTAATTTTTTGACCAACAAGCAGCCCATTGCTAGATATAGCGATAATTGAGTGAAAAGACCGCATTCATTCAGCAGATCACAAGCGAAAGACACTCTATAACAAAAGTAAATGAGTGTCCTTTTTGCAAGGCGGGAGAATCAATATTTGAAAAAATTTGACAAATATCGTTGGGAAGTGGTCCCATGCCATGATGGTCAAAGAGCTCAAGGTTTTATTGCTTGGATAACTAATGAATGGAAGAGAATCTTTGACGAGATTACCGATTAATTACAATACAATTGTAATTAAAATCAATTGTATTATTTTTGTGCGAAAACAAATATGTTTTATTGTATTCAGTATACTTCTCATTTTTGAGCTCAGGCCAGGTATTTTCTTGTGCCTTTGCTTAACCTTTTAAGGGACAGCGGTTACTACAGCGGACAGCTTATCTTGTTTTCAGGTTACAGGGTGCATGAAAGGGTTAAACTCATTAAGCACACCAACTCTTTAATATCTCTTCTGAGCTTCTCACACTGAGCGGGCCTGTCTGTTCTTTCTTCCTTCCACGGTGCAAGCCAGGCCACCGACATTGATCTACAGCACATCTGATGTGATGAGATTGGCCCTAAAAGACTCGAGAACAGCATCAGACTGTGCAACTCAAAGTGTGGTGCATTCGTTTACATCCAAAGCTGCAGATAAATGCCAGGAGCGTCCCGCTGAGTGTCCAGACACTGCGTTTGAGTTATATCACCGTTTCATGTCGGACTCAGAATCCCTGAGGATAATGACTAGCAGAGGTTGTCTGTCTCATCTGTCTCTGCATGGTCTGTGTCATTTGGTATACAGTATATACCGCACGTATAAACACCGAAAAAAACAAACAAACAAAAAAAAGTTGTTGTTTTTTTTTTTTTTTTAACTGAGCACAGAGAAATTTACTGTGCTCATGAAATCAGATATCGTGACTCAGCTAGACATGCTGAGGAGTATGGAAAGTAGAGATGAGCGTGAGGACCTGGTCGGCAATTTTGTTCAAGTTCTAAACAACCATTTATGTTCTGAACTCTTGTTAAAAAAGATTGAGAAGATTGGATTAGTTGTACAAATGGGGGGGACTTGATGCGTTTCAGAGAAACCCCAGACAACAGCAGCCCCTGCATAAGTTGACTTTGAGACCCCACGTTTGTGTTGCTGAGCTATCCAGAGTGGCAAACACAACGGCTAGGATATGTTTGGACACATTCAAATTCAAATACCTCAAATGTGTACATTGCAAATTAAAAAAAAAAAAAAGGAACCATCCTGTGGTCTCTTATTCTCTTAACATATTCATTCAAGTAAGAGTGATGTCATCTAGGTCAGGAAGGCACATTTCAATGTGATGAAAATAGTATTAGATGTATTTGGAAACAAAGGTAATATCCTCATCCAGTAACTTGAGAAATGATTTGATGTCAGAGAAAATTGTTGTAGATCTGCAATGTGAGTGGAAGTTTGGCGAAATGTTCAATCAGACAGCTGCAGTATTTCAGCTTAAACGCTAAATTCAAGGACATGCTTACCCTCTTTGCCGCATTTATGCATCGCATGTATTCTTTGGCCAGGTCTGAACATCTTAGAGTTTGCTGTCCATTCACCTTGTAGCAAGATAAAACCTGAGCCTGCAGGCCAGGACATACAGCGCCGGTATTCCGAGACCTACAACAGATGCAAAAAAGAAGATAAACAGGCTGTTTTCATCCAAAATAATTGAATTTTGTTAAGCACAGAAAATAGCAAATATATTATTTAGGGGCGTTTTTCCATGATGGGTTAAACACCGACAGCAAAATAAGCCCCAGTCTTCGCATGACATCAACTTCAATGTTTCGTTTAACTCATGACACTTTTTTAGTTATTTTGTGTTGTATGTTTTGGGCAGGGCGGCCCGGTGTTCCAGTGGTTAACGCATCAACCATACAGTGCAGAGGTACCGGGTTCAATTCCAGCTTCGGCCTCCATATGTGGAGTTTGCATTTTTCTCCCCGGGCCTGCGCGGGTTTTCTCCGGGTACTCCGGTTTCCTCCCACATTCCAAAAACATGCATGGCAGGCTGATTGAACACTCTAAAACTGTCCCTAGTTATGAGTGTGAGAGTGGATCATTGTTCGTCTCTATGTGCCCTGCGATTGGCTGGTAACCGGTTCAGGGTGTCCCCCGCCAACTGCCCGAAGACAGCTGGGATAGGCTCCGGCACCCTACGCTACCCCTGTGAGGATAAAGCGGATCGGAAAAGGGATGGATGTATGGACATTCTGGGCAAACAGGGAAGACAAAGCATTCATACTAAAGCAAGTCGATGATTGAGGTCAAACAAAGATGAAAATCAAAATGTCGTTCACGCCCACGGCAATCCACTTTCAGCAACTGTTGGTGCGGACGCTACAGTATGCGCTTCACGGCAAATCATGCAATTAGCGCTGAAGCACATTTAATTGAGAGGAAAGGATCATTCTGATCAAATAGAGCAGAAAAGTGTTCTCGGAGAGATTGAATTAGCCACGCTTAATTAGCTATGTGGGTTGTATAATAATTGGTTTTAGCCCGTCTATCTGTGTGATTGTTAACTATGACAGGTTTGCTGGCTGCGTGCATCATTCTAATGGAGACGGACTGATTGAAGCGGAGACCAATAAGTTACATACGCCTACAGGCGTTACACACCACACGCAGGCAGATACTGTTTAAGTTCGTAGAAGACAAAAATACACACGCAGGCACACATCGTCCGGCATGCCAACGCATCCAATTAGCGCATACGCGCGGCGATTCTGTGAAGAGCTTTTAACGGCAAATTTAATTGGAAAACAAATTAAAGGTTCCTTTAGTTTTCATACCCAGAGGAGGCTATGACCCGCGCATTTTAATTACAGTACATCCGTGTCCATGTGCGCGACGTACGTCATCATCGGCCAAAACAACAGCTCGAGTTCATCAACGTGCGAACAGAACAATATTGCGAGCGGAAAGGAAAATTAAGACAGAAGGCAGCGACATAAAAGATGAGACGTGACAAAGGAAGGGTTATTCTGTGTTATTCTCCACGTTTGGAGTGATGATGGCCTATCTGAGAGCTATTGTTCTGTTTAAGCTTTGGCTTTTCGAGTTCTATCGGTTTTCTTACTTTTCCTCTCACTTTTCACACGTCATATTTGCACCAAAAAAAAAAAAAAGGGGGGGGGGGAGAAAACTAAAGCGCCATCTTTATCTCCTGCAAGGGATGAAGCTGCCCAAGATAAGTAGCTGTCCTTTGATTTGAAATAAATGGCCTTCATCGGTGGAGCCAAAGTCTCCCGATAGCAGAGGGAGCTTATTAATAATAGCGCCTGAAGATAAAATGACTCCAGCCACAGAGGCGGTAAAGCTCTGTCGACAAGCTACAACAACCTGAAGGCTGTCCAAAGGCTCCATCTTAGACGTGGCATGAAGCTTGGCTCAGGTGTCCTTGATCATTTCTTCCTTCTGGCATTGACGGGCGTTTCAAGCCAATTACCGCTGATGTTATTTTAACTTGTAAGTGTACGAATGAGGGAGGGGTGTTGATCATCATAACAAATTCTGTAGCTTGCGCTATCGACTAACAAGGCTGTCCATTAACGACACTGCATTATGGTTCCTAGTATCTCAAAAGACAATCAGTGTGATGCCATCGGTTGCTCACTCTCAAAAGATTCCGCCTGGCTTCATTTGGAAAACATCTCAGAATCTTTGCATCTTCTCTATGCAGTCGGGTAACAACTATTTAAATGTGCACATTATTCCCATACAGTCCACTGGGGGCGTAACAATACATAGTTGTAAGACCTTTGGAATTATTTTTATGATTTTCAATGATTTCAAAGGGGTGCCCTCATTTTGACCAGGCCTGCTTCATGAGTTTTTTTTCTTTTAATAACCCAGTTGAACCACAATTCAAAAGCAATGTCTGATTTTCAGTGGTTAATTTTTTTTTTTTTTTTTCGCTTGTGATTTTATTTACAAGCAAAAATCACATGCGCTTTAGATGACTTAAAATGGAGACTTGTACTAACTTAATGCACGTTCACTGACATCCTGGCAAGCCATCAAGGTGGTGATTTTGGCTTTGTGTATGCACTGTAATGTCTCTGATAGATCTGCCAAATGTATAAACAGTAAGATTAGATACTTAATTAACAGCCTTGCCCGTTATTTTTAATCTCTGGCGGTTATGTGGAGGCGGACAGCACACAGGGGCCTCAGACTTGTGGACTACACAGAAGGGCTTAAGAGAGACAAAGGGAAACGTAAACGAAGAATGAAAGCGCTGCAAATTAAGAAAATGGTGAGACACAAATCACGGCGACACAAAGGCTGTTTTTCAATAGTTTTGTGACTGATTAATAATTTCCTCTTATCAGTTCCAAACCGCATTTCTCAGTTGAAAATCCAGAACCAATACCAGTGACTCGCAAGAGTTTCAGTTATGGTACATGTCTGTTTTTCGTGGCAAACCAAATACTGTATTTCGCAAAACCGCTCATGTAAAAAGAAAAGGAAATATGCCATTTTTGACAGGCCAGGTATGTGACGGCACAGAAACAGACAGGTTAGCACATGCGCCTCACTGTTAAAACGCTGTGTGTTCAAATCCGGGCTCCGGCCTATATGTTGTGTCACAAAAAAATAAAAATAAAAAAGAGAGAGAGAAGAGAGAGAGATTGGCTGTCAAACAGTCTCGGGTGTAACCTAACAATAGTGAGGACAAATAAAATAGATGGATGAAGCTAATCAACGAGCAAAAGTGAACCAACGTATTTGATTTGATTGTATTTAACATTGAAGATTCTCCAACGATGAGGAAATTCTTGATTATCACGATGAAGGCTTTTCTTTCAATTACTCACATTTAATTTTGTTCTTCGGTAGTCACGGTGATTGGTTATTCGAAAGCAGTCTTAGTGTTCTGACAGAATAACCTAACAATAGTGAGGACAAATAAAATAGATGGATGAAGCTAATCAACGAGCAAAAGTGAACCAACGTATTTGATTTGATTGTATTTAACATTGAAGATTCTCCAACGATGAGGAAATTCTTGATTATCACGATGAAGGCTTTTCTTTCAATTACTCACATTTAATTTTGTTCTTCGGTAGTCACGGTGATTGGTTATTCGAAAGCAGTCTTAGTGTTCTGACAGAAAACTTTTCCAGCAAGCATGAGCTTGGCCTCTTCTGTGACTGCAAGCATTTCGAATTAGTGAGCGTTTCCCAGGCTGTGGCTCATTAAAGGCTCACTGTGAGACACGCTGACCACAGGGAGTGAGCGTATTGTTTAACTCGGCTTAATTAAAGTTGCCAATTAAAAACACTTATCATATTAGTCGGGTTTGCTCTGGAGAATGTGAGCATTTAACCGGTTACAAAATGAGGAAAAGAACAGATCCTTATCTATTACTGCTTATTAGTCTGCTGTGTGTAGTAAATGTGTGTGTGTGTGTGTGTGTGTGTGTGTTTGTCAGAACCCTGAGGGTTTAATATGGAAAAGGAAAATGTGTGTGTGTGTGTGTGTGTGAGTGTGTGTGTGTGTGTGTGTGTGTGTGCGTGTGCGTGTGTGCGTGCGCGCATCTTACCTCACGGTTGATTCTGTCTTGGATGCCGCTTGGTGGAATTGCTCCTTGCTCTGTTCATAAATCTCCAAATTCTACACACCGAAAAGCACAGAAAACACTTGACTTCACAAGGTCAGGTCAACTTAATTGTTGTTAAAAGTTGTTCTTAAAAGTTTTATTGTTGCCAATTGGGGGTTATGGGAGAGCCTCCGCATTTTTAACAATATGTTATGAAAAATACAACACAGAGCATTTCTTGAACTTTTTAGCGACAACTTCAAAACCATTTTAACGATACACTGGTTGGCAATATGGGGAAAGAGGATTGTGCCGTGACTGTGTTGATCCGAGATCACTATTGCATTAGTTTGTAATATTGGAGGTCTGGCCACGACATCTTTTATGGGGTTTTTTTTTAGAATTAGAATCTGTGCCAACAGTGGTATTTAGCGTTTGTGAGGAGCGCTTGGACAAACTTTGCAGCACAATAAAATGGTCTGACATTGTTGTTATTATGTTATTCTTTCTGGTCACTTTATGGGTAAATGAAATCTATTTTTTGAAAGTACCACTCCAAAATGGTAAATCAGTCATGAGTTTCTTACATTTTAATAAATGTAAGATAAATGTAAGAAATGAATGATTTTTTTTTTCATTCTTTCAGTAAATAATGAAGAATTGGGCAGTGGTCCTATGGAACAAAAAAAAAAACTAAACAGTGCTAATCCACAACAACTGGAGCCTCTCTTCTGCTGATCTACACAGCTTAAGCCTGTACACACCCAGCATTCTCTCTAAATATTTAACCAATAAACTACACCAGCTGAGAGGGAAGCATCGTGGCAAAAAAATAAATAAAATGAGAGAAAACTCTTGAAAGAATTGTAGGGGAAAGGTACAAAAAAAAAAAAAAAGGCAAAACTCATGGAATCTTTAACAATTAGAAATGTATCCCTAATTGTGTAACAACGCAAACACAAGTAGTAAGATAATGTTAATATAGGCAAAGCTGCGGTAGGCTGACATTTTTTTTAAATTCAGTGCAGCTAAACTCCTGTCATGAGAATATTTTGCAAAGTCACACAGACGAAAACCCACAGCGAGATTTCGGAGCAGTAAAGCAAGCACACCGAGCCCCGCAGACAAGCACAGAAATTCACACATTTGTACAGTCGGCATGCCGCGCACCTGATTATACAATGGATGGAAAAAAAATGCAGAGACGCGGCTCGCTCTCTCCATTTTTCTGTCCTTCACGGCCGCACCCGCCGAGAGGTCTATAAATAAACATCCGAGGCCCAACAGCAAACACAGCTTGTACCGCCTGTATGCCAGCCTGCCAGTCTTCTAGGGGCTCTGTATACCAAACCTGTTGCTAATGAGACTTTCATAAATAATCACACATCTGACACCAGGATAACGCGCCAGAGACATCCTTCTCCTTTGGGAGAGTGCAGGCAAATTTTAGAATCGATCAAATCCAACAGGAGAGGAGTCACCGATGTGGTGGCCGAAGGCACCAAGCAGCCCCCAAGGACCTCATGACTGGCTCAGTCTTGAGGTGTTTAACATTTGTTGTTAGCATGAAATAAAAGTTGTCATTCTGAAGTTGTGTCCAATATTCATCTTTTGATCTGAAACTCAAATTTCTTTAGTATACTTTGTGCAAGGTGGTCCAGTGGTTAGTAAAAGCGTTCTGCCAGAGACTAATTGACAGGTGCATTCGCCAACACACACTCAAACAGACAACTACCGTACTTTGTGAGCTCTGTGCAGCCATTATGAAATGAAGACAACACCAAAAGCATAGTTGACTACTGACAAAACAGAAGAAGGAGACAAGCAAGACTTCTAAGAATATTTAGCCCCTTTTAGATGTGAACCCACGAGGTTTGTGTGCCTTTTTGTTGAATCAATTGTCTTCATAACTATCGTCTTTCATTTATTGTTTTGTTTGTGCCATTTGTATTTATATGGAGCTCTTGAGCCTGAATGAGAACACACACACACACACACACACACACACACACACACACACACACACGCACAACCAGTTTGAACAAACCCAAAGTCTCAACATGAGTGAATATTAAATGTGTTTTGAAATTATGAAAACAGAAAAAAATATGGTGAAATACCATTTGAGTGAAATTTCAATTTACCAGCAAAAAGAACAGAAAATGCCTCTGAAATGATCCATGTATTCCGCATTGTGACCCATAGGTGATTGTTGAGATGCAGCCATCGTACTTTCTAACAATAAGGAGAAACACTGCTGACTCTCACACTTTGTAGAATCAATTTGTATTTATATGGTTCATGTCCAATTTTGAGAACAGTTCTCATGGTTTTTGTCACAGCTGAAGCACCTTATAGTGCAGAAAATATGGTATTTATTAATTTGCGGGTGTGTATATTTATGCAATGCCGTTATTGTCCTTTTTTTGTTGTTGTTGTTATTGCCCATAAAAGTGTTGAGCATAGTTTTTAATTGAGTTGTTCGGGTTAATGTATACATTAATGGTTGAAACTTTATCTTGGTTTCATGTTTTACATCACAAAAATGTGACATTTGAACAGGGCTGTAAAGACTTCTTCTTTTTGTGTTATGAAAGGACGTTTTCGTGTGGGACCTGGAGGAATTGCTTGCCAACAAAAGGCCATGCAAAGGTTCTTATTGGTTGGCACCCGGTGAGGCTGAGACTTCAATGAGAATACACCTTTTTTTTTCCAGCCCGGCAAATGTCAGACAGTTGAAAGGGAACGAACACAAACAAAATGACTCCCTGCAGTGGCCGACTGTTGCTAAAATCTCTGATCTTTCACGTTTGCAGAAACATGCCAGTTTTTAATTTTGGGCGAGTTTTAGTTTGTGTAAAAGTGAAGCCTCTGAAACGTCTTCAATGTCTGTATGTCCAGCTCTGTCTTGGGCTGCTCCCTGGACACTCTGGAGGAGGTGGGCAACAGGAGGATGCTAGCTAACCTAACAGCTATGATGGACAGACCCTTCCGCCCCTTCCAGGCCACCCTGACAGCAGTGGGCAGCTCCTTCAGCCAGAGACTGATACACCCGCGGTGCAAGAACGAGCGGTACCACCGTTCCTGCCGACTGCTGTCAGGCTATTGAATAGACAGACCTGACCTGAAAACCTGGACTCACCCCCACTCACCCATTTTTAATATGCTTATATTTATATTGTATATTTCTATACTTTTTGTCTTCTACTTTATCCCTTTCATAATTTTGCTCCTGTAAATTGGGAATTTCTCCATTTTGAGATGACAAATAAAGGTTTTCTTATCTTATGTTTACTCACCCGCTTCTCTATTAGTGCTATTTGCTCCTTATAGAATGCATCCAGCGCCTTCAGTCGTAACTCTTTTTTCTGGAGCTCTTGAGCCTGAATGAGAGAATGAACACACACACACACACACACACACACACACACACACACACGATCAGTCAGTAATAAACCAGTTTGAACAAACCCGAAGTCTCAACATAAATGAATATTAAATGTGGTTTGAAATTATGAAAGGAGAAAAAAATATGGTCAAATACCATTTGAGTGAAATTTCAATTTACCAGCAAAAAGAACAGAAAATGCCTCTGAAATGATCCATGTATTCCGCATTGTGACCCATAGGTGATTGTTGAGATGCAGCCATCGTACTTTCTAACAATAAGGAGAAACACTGCCGACGCTCACACTTTGTAGAATCAATTTGCCAGCTGCCAGAAAGACACAATAAGGGCCTAAAGACCCAAGATCACAAATAGTGGGCACTAAATTGCATGCTCACTCGAATAGCTTGCGCGTGGACGTACATATACACACACACACGCACGCACGCACGCACGCACGCACGCACGCACGCACAAACTGTGTGTCTGTTCTATTCACCCAACATATTTTTCCTTTCATGAAGTGTTCAATAAAGGCACATGAAACCTCCTACACGGTTGGACATGTATGGACAGCTTACTTGATGATTAAAATAATCACTTGCAGCAGCCATACAGGGCAAGTAACCACCACATCAAAATAAATTTAAATCTACACGTCGTACTGAAAGAGGTACATTTATAAGGTTCATCTTAGTAACACAACACACCTTTAATGGTTAAGCAATAACAATACCAGCAGTTGTATCCCTGGAAAGAACAGTAATATTTGATCAAACCTATCAAAACGATATGGCACGTGGATGCTCCGATTTTTTTAAGGTAGAACTATTGTCACAGTGTAAAGCATCAGCGCAAGTCTACAGAAATGCACACAGACACACAAGGAAGAAGATACATCATAATTATCAGGGCTGGTGAACACCAAATCAAATCAGAGGTGTACTATAAACAAAATGAGGCAAAAAAAAAAAGACGAGGCTTATGCTTCCACAGTCAAGCATCATCGATTATACACAGTGAGTAGGGACTAAAAGAGTTCATGTGTCAGTTCAATATTAACGATGGAGTTTATGCTTGGGAGGTTAGAGTTACAAGCCAGCGAGTGCCTTTAAATAAAAGTAAGCACACTCTTCCTATCTGTATGCCGACTGTGTTGTTCCAGATTTAATTTGCAGCCAGACAGGAAAATGAGAGTGAATCATACGACTCCCCTGTTGTCCCTGCAGGGGTCTGCAAGTCTAAGGCAGATAAGAGGCAGCCAGGCAAGACTCAACACGCAAGCACGCACGCGCACGCACGCGCACGCACACATACATACATACATACATACGCACGCACACACACACAAATGGGGACCCCATTTTGTTTTAAGGAGATGAAAAGGATCTCGACAAACTACATGGTGATGATTTGACTGTGATCAAGCTTGAATATCACTAAAACTACACTGCCATAGCAAAATACAAATTAACTTATATGCTTAGGACTAACACAGCACAATGTGTATCAATTGTAATGCAACAATTTGACCCCCTACGGTAACGGATTTCGGAAGTCAGCCTTTCCAGGCAAAAATATATGATGTTTCAGTTTCTACTTATTGCGACGATCTTAACAGTGAAGTCGAGTGAAGTGATGCGAAAGCCCTGTAAAAATATCCCTCTTCTATAAGTACGATTTTGACAAGCTCAGAATCCAGAAAATCTGGTGACCATTGGTCTAATGGACCTTCCACACAACACACGTGCAATTAATTCAAAACTTGCATTGCCATATTAGTCAAATTAAATATGACTGCTTCCCTCCCAGTGTTTGTGTGTGTGAGTGGGTGTGTGGGTGTATGGCGTTACCATCTGATAAAAGCAGCAGTTTGTTCGCCTTTTTCCCAGTTGTCCCCGTCTCAGTATTTACTCCGCTGGGTTTATTTAACACATAGCTTCCAGCTGGACAATAAATAAGCACTTAATAATAACTGGACTGGTAATTACGACCAGGCAGCTACACAGAGAAGGAAGAACAACAATCTGGGCCATTCGGATTTCTTTTCTTTTACAGCTCCTCTTGTTTGCCATGAACAGTTTGGCCCATTATACAATAACTGCTCCCCCCCAGTAGATAAAACATTTTAAAATATGAGTACAAATTGTCCCAATTTAAAAAAAAAAAAAATCTGCCAAAAGCATCCCTTCTATTTATCATGTCTGGTACTCAGAACATTTGCGGCATCTTAATTATTTTAAATTATTGCTGAGACAACAATAATGGAGTCATAACCTCCGCTAGCTTGTTAAAGCGTCAATGATGTCAAGGAAAACATGTTTTTAAATTTTTAGGGGGGGCTACTGGGTGACTGTGGGGCCGTGTTTGGGACACTCAACAAAAAAAAGTGAATTTTGGGGTTTGTTGAGGTCCCCACAAGGAAAAATGGCAGAAATATGTTTTAATATCCTACATAATGTGTATATGGATATTGAATGAAACATTTTAACAGTAGTTGCAGCCTTATCTGCACTTAACAATATGGAATATAACCAATTTCAGTTTTATAAAACAAATACTTAATAGCAAGAGTATTTTCCATCTCTTTTGAGACATATCCATTTTGTTTTTAAGCACTCGTGTTATTTTTAGGGATAATTAAGGTCTTCTTTTTAAGTAAGTGCAGTTTTCAGGTAGCAGCACAACCAAAATCTACCTGAGATGTCAAATTTCCATTCCACTACATTCAATAAAATGAAATAATGACTTCTCTGCATTAAGAATTTATTTTGGAAAATCAATTGTCAGACTTACATGGATCAGACGACAATCCTGTTAAAAGACAATCATCGTTACATTAAATATGAGGGAAAAAAAGTGTAAAAAATCCAGAATTTGCTCTCTCTGCAACTATCACTGAGCAATTCATCGAACAATCCATCATCATAAAAGCCACAGGCTAACCTAGTTAGATCATCACTTAGTATCTGGCGTAGGGTGCATGGTAGAGAGAGAGCTACCAATCTACACACATGGATCCCCACTGCCAACCTAATATCTTAACGTGCAGAACCATATCAGTTCCAACAGATTACAATTACCGTTACAGGTGTTGACTTATCAGCACCTCAGCCTCTTCCTCTCCTGTCTGCTCCTTTGTTCACAGTTTTCCCCTCCACTATAGCCTCGGTTATCTCTCCGGCACTCCCATTTTTTTCCCCCATTGCTCCTCGATCTCTTTAAATTCTCCTCTCATATGCACGACGCTACACCAGAGCCAGGAGAGGCTATAGCCATGTCAGGAATCTGTTTAGCCCCTCTTCAGCCTCTCAAAAAACAGAGCTCGAGACTGGGGACACATTGCACTAATGCTGGCCGCATTCGTGAATTTACTCATTCACTCCACATGACATATAAATACGTATTGAAAACCCGCAAAGGCAGCCCACCCAGCCTATTTATACGTTTTTCTTTTTCTTTTTTTTTTTTGCCATAGTGTGGAGAAGGGTCTTACGCGGCCTCTGAGGCAATGATGATCAATCTTGTCTGCATTATAAATCATTTATCATGTTGATTGCTAAAGAATGTAAAAAGATCGAAAGAAACTATTTTCCAGCTGAAAAAGAGTCTTGTGTTTCTTTTGGAAGATGGCAAGTTTACATCCCAATAGAAAACAATAATCTGTGGGCCTTGCAAATCAGTCAAAATCCAGTAAAACCGCTGGGATCGCGGGGTTTGCTCCAGTGAAAATGGGATTCAATGAGCTAATGAGCGGAGCGCACTCTCCCTTTCAGCACACAGCCACTCTCAAGAGTAATGCATGCCTTTGGTTAGAGTTAGTTAGCTTGCAGTCCATCTCAGCAATGAATCGCTTTGTAATAAAGAAAAAAAAATCCCCCCAAAAATCTCCCAATTTCCATGCGACTGGTGAAATAAGCCCGGTCCAACTCCTGAAGTAGCGTTACCCGCAGCTAATAAGTGCGCAGGGTTCAAAATAGTGTGCAACAAGCATTCTCCACTAAGAACAGCAGAAAAAAGCGAGGTGATGTGGGCGTAAAATTTGGCCTTTTCTGTCCTAGCGCACAGAAGGTGATACAAAGATGTAATCAATGACCACGATTGAACGGTAGGGCCCAAATCTCTATCTTCGGGCAAATTCATACTTTATATTGAATACACATCTCTACCGCGCACCACTACTGTGTATTATTCATTTATTTTGGAAAAATTAGAGCACCTCTCAAGTAAGAGAAGTCATGAAAATCAAGTTTTTTTTTCTCAGCCGCCCCAGATATCGGTCAAGCCCCGGGAAAGAAAAAATATGAATATTTATCTAGTTTTTCCCTCTTTCTATCTGCTCTTGGACGGTACTTGTCCTCCCTGATTGGAAGCCTCGCGCCGAGATGGAATAAAACTCATATTTATAAATAATAAATAAATAAGTAAAAGGGAAAATTCTAAGCATGCGCAAGCTTATTCATTCAACAATAACCCTTTCCTTCAATTGAAATTCAAAAGAACATCCACATTTAACTTGTTTTTATTCACTTAAATTGCTTAACATCACAGAGATGCAATATAGCTGACTAAATTAGAAGTCGAAGGAGTACATGATAAAACATGAGGCCATTCACCAGCCAATATGTAGCATGGTAATGAAGCTTGTCCCCATCTGCATCAGCTCGCTTTTCTCCAAGCGTGAACACAGCTGTTTCTTTCACACCCATTACCAAAGTCTGAACGTGCTCCCCGACTAAGACACTGCCGGAGCTCCAGCTGACGACACGTCATTAAATGTAAACAAGGTAGGTAGGTGAGTCCAATCAAAGGAAACATCTGGATCAATTTACCACTGCAGCTTCACTAACAGATTGATGGACACGAGTGAAAGTGCAACTACCATCTTCCTTGAAACGGAAGCCTCCCATCTAAGAGGTGTCGTGTCCCAATTCATCACCAGGTGCAGCCACTGCAATAAAACAGATGCCTGCTTTTTCCCTTCTGACGCTCTATGTGTCATGTTATAAGTTACTAGTGGGCATGCCAGGGCAAACATTGCCAAACATTTCAGCAGTGAAACAAATAATTGGTGATTGGAAAAAGCAAAACAAGATTCTGAAGAGGCAAGGTGCTCTAAGATAAATGGCGAGTGATGGGAGGCTGCAATACACAATTATTTGGAACGTAATTATATCAGAAGACATTTGCATATTGGCCAATTAAAACATGTATGACTCATACCCATACAGACACACACACCCCCAGGGTCAACGCTGTTGGTGCCCTTCTGTTCATGAAAGAAACTAAAATAACTTACATTTATAAAAGTAATTAGGAAAAAAAAATCAGGCATTGTTTTAGGCATTCTGAATTATCTTTAACAAACAAATGAAAATGGTCTGGACAAAAACAATGGTCCGCTGACCTTTATTTCATTGCACAAACTTTTGAGTGAATCGCTCAAACAAAACGCTTCTGTAAATTTCAATTAAGACTTTTAGAATGTGTTGACAGATTTTGGCCCCCTGATCATGAGTAAAGGGCCCCAACATTTTCAGGTTTGAAGGGGACCTTCTCCACACTGTATAATTCATCTTTTTTCATAGATGCCTAATAGTACTTTAGATTATCACGGGGATTAGCAAACATTTGTCCATGGAGAGAATACCACACTTTGTATTTAATGTGATTTAATGTAATTTTCCGCATGTCGGACAAGAAGAAAGAGCAGAAGACAGCCATCCATACGACCGTGCATAAATCCACTTGGCCCATCCTGCTCAGGGTCAAGTGTGTGTGTGTCCGAGGCGAGTAGGGGATGGGAGGCTGCCCTCGCTGACAATGTGTCAGATTAGTCAAAGAGCAGACGCGTGGAGATTAATAACCATTTAGTCCTACAGACAATAGAACTGAACATGCATGTTTTTGGACTGGGAGAGGAAGGACCGATGAGAGGCCACATAAGCACGGGGAGACTACAAACTACATACAGAAAGGCATGAAGCTTTTTGCGAACCACGAGACCACCTTAGTTGAGGAGAGACGTCACTGTCATGGACAAAATGCGTAATCTTGTCAAGGTTGCCATCTCGTATCACCTACAGGGAAGTGGTGAGATCTATTTTCCCATCTAAAAAAAGGAATGAATGATGTTGAGGTGTTGAGACCAATTTAATAACAAAGTCTATAATCCATTCCTGCAACATGCTTTCTTCCGTTTAATAAGTATCCAATCAGCTACAAAAACAACATGTAGGAGGTAAAAATAATCATTCATATTCCAAAACATTCACATTTCAAGGTTGTTTTTTGTCCCCAATTTTTCACCTTCAATGAATGGCCTATTTTTTTTCATACATTGGACGCACTGCATTATAAGACGCAATCTACAATGCATCCACTAGATGGAGCTATGCTAGAGGAAATTCCAACAGAACGATCAGATGTCAGTAAAATGTGTTTAATAAAGCAGCAACACGGTTCACTTAACCAACAGCAAGTTATAACAGTTAGTGCAACATTTGATCACGTAGTGGAAACAGACTGATATACACAGTGCTTGGTGCTTAAGTTTTATGAAACGGCTTATTTATCCATCCAGGTGAGGATGACCGTGGCGCAGCAACATCCGGCGGATTTCCAAAGAAACGCTGGCCAACTTCCACTCCTACTGCAGTAAAAAGTGTAATGTTCTGTCTCCAACCACAATACCAACATGGATGAGGTGCCGCTAAATTTCGACGACCTGGTGAACCACACGGTAGAGAAGAAGAGGGACCAGCACGGTAGCGATATGCACAACGGGGCGCGTGAAGCCGGCTTTTACTTGTTGTGCTCGGTTGCCATGGTAATGGACAAGACACGGCCAAAGTGAAGTTGCGAGCGCTGTGGGAGCGATGGCGAACACAGCTTTACTAAGACTGGAAGGCAGCGCCGGGCAAGTTATGCCACAATTCTTCCTCCCACATTCTATGCATGTAAGGCTAAATGAAGACTCTAAATAAGGGGTGCCTAACCAGTCAGCACCATTTTGATGCAAATGTACCAGAACATAAAACAACACCACATTTTTATTCAAATCATAGTCTACCTGAAGGTCAAGTAATCACCAACTGATTATGATGGCCCAAAACTCAATTCCGAAATACAAATGCCCCTGTAATAAATATCAAACATTAATAATGTCAGGGTGTGTTCATAATTGACCATTAAATTAAAATGACACCTTCAAAAAAAAAAAAGTAAACAAAAAGGTAAAACGCAATGCATCTTCACCTGCTCGGGCATTCACGGCAGGTGAATGTTGAGCCATTACGTTCGCTGACACGATAATAGGAAAATAATCTCATTTGAGTTCCGCACGAATGAGCGCAAAGCTGCCACACACTTGACTTGCATGTGCATATAAGTATTCATAGCACAGGAGAGTGTAATTACAAGGCGCCTTTGGCATCAGCACGTCCAGTCTTGTTGGAACATTTGTTGTGCTCACTATGTCCCTCTAGTGACTTTCTATTAACAGCGGGAGAGTGCTGGAGTGAAGATAAGGCAGCCACTACTACAGCACGCCTTATCAAAGGGCGGGAGGGAAGCAGGTGCACGAGAAGAGTCACATGAAAGAGGCCACGGCTGGCGTGTAAAACAAGCCCTCCTCTCTCCATCCGACCAATCCACCGCCACACCACTCCTATCTCCAATTCCAGGAAACTCTCGGCTTGTAATTTAACACTTGCACTGTGCTGATAATGCAGTCTCCGGGGGCAGGAGGCATGAGGTGATCGGTTGGGATGGAAAGGGTGAAAGACCAGCAGAGATACAGTAAAGGGTAAGGAGGAGAGAGAACAGTAGCAGAATGGAAGAAAACAGTGGAGTGGGTTGCAGATGGTAGGAGTGAAGACTCGTGTTTCCACAAGTTGTTGAGAATGAGAGTGAGGGGGCAGAAAGAGGATGTGAATGGAATGACATACCGTAGGCAATCCAACAAAATCTCTTCAATCTGATTCAAAAGAAATCCGTACCAGGAAAAAAGATCAGCACTACATTGGCAGTCATATCCATAAATGAACAGGATACTCAAAGAATTAAAACACACAAACAAAATTCTACCAATTAATAACAACAATAAATTGTGGCATCTTGTTACGCGTTTTCTTTTTCATTTCATCTGCACGAATAGCATTTCATGGTGCGATCCTTTCTCAACATGGTGCCAAAAAAAAAAAAATCCATCACTTTCAGACACAAAAAGCAAGTGCTGTTAGCTAAGAAAAATATTAAATGAATATTTAGAAAATTCACGAAGCTGACCAGTATGGAGATATCAAGATCAATTTTTAAAAAAATAATAACACATTTAATATAAACCGACCCGAGCCAAGCCAAACTGAGGATTCGGACTTGCTTGGGCGTTTACATGGGTCAGTGATACTTTGGTTTCTAAATGACATGGACGTCACTGAAAAGGACCAAAACTATTAAAACCACTCAATGTAATAATTAATAATAATCTAAATGTGCCATTGACACACACAGCCAATATCATACACAAGAACAGTATGTAGTGAGATAACTGATTTCATCAAGTCACTGCAATGGGATTGTCATAATTCTTTAAAGGCAAACTGTTTAAAAAAAAGGGCTCAATTCAGTAGTCACAAAAAGGTGAATGGTAGACAAGTACCAAAAAAAACAAAAACAAAGCAAAAAAATTAATAAATAAAATGTGTGCATGCGTGCGTGTTCATGTACCAACTGTTTGGTCTTCTCAGCCTCCTGGCGTGTATGTTGTCTTTCCCGAGTTATTTCCTTAATCGTCTGCGCCTCTCTTATGTGGGCCAATTCCTCCCTCAGTATGTTTTGCTGCCGATCAGTCCTGGAAAACACACACATGAATAATCATGCTTTTATTGCCCTCTGGCTCCCGACAAAATCTGATTTCCAAGGCTTTCATGCCGCAATTACAAGGCCTCCAATATTGGTTACCTCCAGAGGGCAGCACAGACCATCACTCGGATGGAATACTGTGAGTCATAATGTGCAAGACTTCAAGATACAATAACTAACTAGCTAACTAACTTACTAACTAAATAATGTACGCTATTTGTATCGGCTGGTGAAAAGAAAATCAATATATAAAATTAAAAACACAACTTTGTGACTCCAAACGGTGATCCAACTTTTCAACTGCCATGCAGGATCCATTTAATGGAAATATTGTTCGAAAAAAAAAAAAGTCCTAAAATGACACTTGATTTTTTTTTTTTGTCTGTTTAAGTCTGGCAAGCAACTTCTCTAGTTGTGTTTTTACTATTTTGTATTTAAATGCAATCAAATTAATTTTTCAACAATTAAAAATATTCACATCTGTGTCTATTATTCAGTCGTCCACTAAAATTAATTTAAGAAATGTTTGCTTTTTAGAACAAAAACAGTGAGTGATTGTAATTATCAAGATTAATTCATTTTAAAGGTGTAAAAAAATGTGATTATTATTTTTTAATGGAGTCCCACCATCGGTAAATATTACATTATTGTGAGAGATACTTCATCATTACTACTTTGCTACTATGCTGTCCACCATTTTACGCAACTTAAAATTATCCTTCACAATATAGTTACTCATTATTCTGGTAGGTGATGCACTCGAGTTTTTCTGTCCGTCAGTTTGACCACTTTTGTGAATTGAGCATGAAATTAACCCAAAACTAATATCGGTAATGCGTTACGGGCCTGGCCCACGTAGAACATTTCGGACACTTTGTGTGAAAGGTCATGTGCATTTTTAACTCGCGATTACATCTGTGATGTTGCAATGCCATACAACAGCCAATCAAATTTTGAATCTGAGCAACACTTCTGGTTGAACGTGGGCCACTCATGAAAACTCTGTGCCAAAGCCCGCAAACTGCATGACAGTTTTTGTCGGTTTCAGTCGCATAGCTCGGTGTGCGTCGGACTTAAGATTCATGTTTTGGGATGTGTGAGGAGCAGAGATGTTAACATCAAATATGAAATCTTTTAGACAGACATACTAACTACAAGGTCATCATCTTGCCCGCATTTTACTTTGGACTTTGACATCAAGAGCTCCAAAAACAACAGTCAGGAATAATAGACATCAATAATTTGATACTAACCTCTGCTCCTCTTTCTTGACTTTAGCAGTTGTTTTGTCAGTGCTGGACTGGGTGCTTAACTGGGTTTGCTGTGGGTTCTGCTGTGGTCGGGTGTTAGAGCTGGCGCTGAAAGACGCACCTGAAGTAACCAGAGAGTCAATCGTAAATAGAAGGTTGATGGCTGACAAACTTTCAGTGTGATCACTTTAGACTTTGGATGAGGGAACAGGGATTTTGGAGGTTGACAAGCTCGAGGACATGTTCGGCTTTACGCCCCTGGCACATAGCTAGCTTCACTTCCACCGTTTGGAAACTCGGAGCATTGTTCAAATGTTCCGTTCGGCTAGTCAGAGTGCACCGAAAACGGAGTGCCGGGGTGCGTTCGAGGCGTTCCAACTTTGGACACAGTGTGCCACAGTACGTCAGGCAGATGGAAACAATTCAAGCACGAGCTGCTGATGATTTTCAGAGCATAGGCTGCTTTCAGAACATGCAATTCCAGAAACAGATCTGTTCTTGATTTTCAATATCGGTATGTTGAAGTTATCAGATCGGCATCAGCCTGAAAAAAAATATTGTGCATCCCTAGTCTTTGTTGTTAAGAGATAGATCATGTCCACTTAATTCCCCACAGAAGGGTCGGATCCAAATCTCACCCGTGCCACTGGTTTAAGTAGACATTGGTTATTCTTGTGATTTTGATGATGATCAGACCACATTTTAAGACTAATTTATGAAATGTAAGAAATTCCAAAGGGTTCACATCCTTTTTCCGCCCAATGCATTTCCCACTGCTCATGCATATGTTGCAAAAGCAGAGATTTTTGAACAAGTTGAAAACTTCTGACCCCAAGTATGCACTTCTAAGTCACAAATATTTTGCCAAGATCACCTTGGTTCACCTGTACAAATAAACATGAGGAAAGACTTTGAGACTGCTGGAATTTGTCGGGTACAACAGGCCTATTGACCAGCAGAGCAATCACAGTTAAATGATGATTTTTCTTCTTTTAAATTGTTCAACAGTTAAAATGTAAACGATTAAGAACTGTGTTTACATATCCACTAGCCCTAAAGTTGGATGCAAGAATACCTGTGTCCCTCTGTGCACGCTCTGGAGGAATATTGGCCACACCTTTCATCCTCTGGAGAACATCTTCTGAGAGCTAGACCAAAGGGTGGAAAGCGTGTTTAACAAGACAAAAAACACAAAATCTTTTGTTATGGGTGGGGGTTTTTGTCCCCCACTTCGCAAACACAAAATTAGAAAGCGTTAACTTCTTTATTTTTATGGCAGTTAATAGGTAGAAAAACGTTTTTTTAAAACACTACCCCTAGACTTTGTACAATGGCAATGGTGACAGTTTCATCCAGGAATGGAACCGAAAAAATTGACTTTGGCTTTATAAGTTCCAGTGTGTTATTGAAAGGAAATTGTGCATATTTTGCAAATGATCTGGGAGCAAAGATTCTTCATTGGATCACTGAAGCTCTTCTTTGTCTTTACATGTGTATGTGTGCCTCTGTCCGCAGCTCCACTAAAAACCATGAAAACCAGTGACTCACTATTTCCAAGACTAACAACATTAGAATGTGCAGTTTCATGTAAAATGACAATTTGGTTAGATTTTTTCCCCCTAGACATTTTACAGTTTTTTTCTGTTATTAATTCATTGTTTTTACTGTCTTTGTTGTTGTATAGTTTTACTCAATGTACAACACTTTGTATGTACTAGTGGTTGTTGTGCTCTGTTTATGAAGTTGAGTTTTCCATTAGAGTATATTTGGTAACTAAAAGGTGGCTTTTTGATGATTTTGTGTTGAAAGTTCAATGTAATATTCGTTGTAGTTTTCAAGTTATGATGATTTTTGTTGTCCTGATATTTACTTTTTGTTTTGTGTAGTCAGTGGAATTACTTAACTAATTAGAAATAATTAGCACGATAGTGTTATGTGGTGCCTGTTTCTGTGTTTAGATGGTTTTACAATAAGATTAAGAAATTTACTTCTGTATGAAACTGGATTTCAACACAAATGGTCACATCTCAAATCTCAACCCCGATTGACTTTGCATTAAGAGGTTGGCCATAAATTGGTGCATTTTCAACCGGTTCAAAGAGACAGAACTTTCTTAATATTTGTCACGGGAAAATTTGAGTTCTATAAACGAATTTGTCTTAAAAAGATTTTTCTAATTGTGCTGCTCTCGTAAACAGCGCTCATAAATGTATTGTATTGTAAACGCGCACACATACCTACTCTTGACATAGTTGTCATTTACGTCTGAGGTGGGGTTTACAAAATTTCGACACTTCATGACACTTGAAGGCACCGCTATCAGGAGCCCGACAGCAGCCCAAACCGCGTTCCATGTGTGGCCGTTTATTTCCATCGATGGTTTTAACAACTAAAGAAAGTGGACGGGTGACTAAATTTAAAACAGTTAAGTACTCATGACGAGTTGTAACGCAGCTCGTCAACGTTTTGGTTCTGCGGTTAGGGGACCGTTTGGTAACAACATTTTAGAATCAAATGTTACTCAATGAAAACATCTATTTTTTTCTTTAACATATAAGAGAAGTAAAATCCTCCGCGGAAAACAACACCGAATTTATCAGATGAACATAAATGACTATGAAATTAACGTCTCACCGGAAATTAATCATTTAATTTCAACAAGAGAGACACTACTCCAAAATGCTGCATAGTCTAAGGGAAGTCTGGCTCTTCTGCTCCGGAGAAATGCGGCTAGTCTGACAACTTGTCCTTGCATCCTTCTGCATCCTCTACACGTCGTTCTTGCTGAGTTGAACACTCGTTTTAAGAAGAGTCCGTTTGAACGAGTTAACAATCGTCCAGATTCAGTGTTTTAGCAAAATAGCGGTTAATGGAGAGTCCTGGGGCGACATGACTCTAGTTAGCATAGCTTCTCAACAAACGCTAGCTGAATTAGCATTACCTTGACTCCGCGCAGGATCCTGACTCTGTCCTCGTCGTCCACACCAAAAGACACTTTTCTCGTCGTACTTTCTCCTGAGCCCATGCTGCGTGGAGTGACACTGACTAAATGTTTGTACTTATTCTATAATTATTTCATGCAGTAATCGCTGTTATTGCGCTCTAACTTTTATAATCGTGTAGCTACTGCTCAATGACAGATGGGTTCGGGTTGCCAGATGCTCGTGTCATCCCCCTTTGCAAGTTCATAGACCGTACAAGACAATAAATGAGGGGTTGAGATTTTACATTTTAAACAGTTAGTGCGTGTAATAGTTTATCGAAATATGAATCTGTATAATGTTTTATATCGTTAAAAAAACATACATACACATATAGTCGTTTACACTTACATGGCAGCCTGAGCTTTTAAAACTCAAGATCCTCTTATTAGAGTCGTACAACAGTGAAAATTCCAAAGCAAACTTTCAAGACTCATTTAATTCCATTAAAAACTGCGTGTAACGTGTTTTTTTAGTAAAATACATGTATACAGTATTCTATTGTAATTAGTGATAACACCGAAGACATAAATATCATTACCATTTATTTGTATATAAAAATGACAAATCACGTTCACACTTAAATGTAAAAGAAAATAAACATATTACTGATTTCCTATAAGAGAGCAATCAACAATACACATGTATGAAAAAGAAAAAAAAATACAGTGACAGTCAATGACATTAATCAATACAGTTACTCACGATACCGAATAATGTCTTGGTAAACAAACTACTATTGGATCAGACTGCTCAATTATAGTGATGCTCTTATGTTACTTTGGTAAATTCATCAATCTTGTATTTTCTTTACTGTTGTGACACATAACAGTAGCTGCACTACAGTATTCATCCATCCATCCATCCATTTTCTACACGCTTATCCTGGAAAGGTTTGCGAGAGAGTGCTGGAGCCTGTCCCAGCTGATTTCGGGCAAAAGGTGGACTACATCCTGAACTGGATGCTAGTCAGGCACATACGTATAGATAAAAAAACAACCATTCACACCTACATTCAAGTCAGGCGAGTGTACCACTACACCATCAGTGACACACTACGGTATTTACAGTATGAATATTTTTGCAATATGAATATTGAATCAAACTAGTGAATATAAATTGCAAACAAAGATTGTTTAGCTATGCCAGGTATGAGTAATTGGTGGCCCCTTGATTAACCACCCCCCCTCCAAAAAAAAAAAAAAATTGGGGAAGGAGGGGAGGGGGGAGGGGATTAACAAACCCAAAGCATTTCAATAATGCTGACAAACATTCAATATACTTTTTCCACGGAAAACGGGTGGAAATGGTGGTGGGCGAAGCACATATTTTGCCCATATTTAAATTAGAATTTTTGTCATAAATTTGTGGTTTTATGTGCCCCCAACCCCCAGTAGCCCTGGTGAAAAATTGTGTCCCTCTTCTACATATAAGTTTTCCATCCCTGATTTTGGCACTATTTTAATAAATTGACACTCAGATTCATTCTGTTCAGAGGCTTATGAAACACAAGCAGATGTGCTCACAAGCCACACTGGAGTGTGATCCAAGAGCCTGGCGTGTTGGACTGGATACTGAACGCTGGGTAAACTGTATCTTTAAAAGCAACCTTGAAAGTGTAGAGATGCTCCCTTTGGCCTTTAATGTTATGGAACATCAATGTGCCTCCCTCATAGTCCAGCGCCACCTCAATCTTCAAGGGCTGCTGCTTCATTTCGCGCAAGACTACGTTTGACGAAGACTTGCACACTGTCAGTTTGCCGTTTTTCCACTGGAGCCGCCAGGACACCGAGTTGTGACCCAGTCGGCTGTGGTCGCCGCGCCGCGGGATGGTCTTGTAACACACCCCCAGTGACCACATGCTCTCGGGGCCCACCTCCACCACCCAAACATGCTCGCCACTGGAAAAGCCCTGGTTGCACATGACCTGCGGGGCACTGGTAAAGCGCTCCTTGTGCTCGACGTGCGGCTGCCTGGTGTCGCTGTACTTGGCCGTGCGCAGATCGTTGCTCAGTTGCAAGTTGGGGTGGGCCGTGCACGAGTTGAAGGTGAGCTCGAGAGGATTGAAGAGGATGCAAAGGAACTCGGCAAGACGGCTGATTTCGGCTCGGAAGGCCTCGCTCCTGAGGCCTTCCTGCATTTGCTTGGTGTTGAGTGGAGCCTTCGTCGGGATGTTGCAGGAAATTGAGACCGTGGCAGCCTTCCTTACCTTCTCTTCGATCAGTACAAACCTAGAAAGAATGGGTGGAAAATTGCTTACTAGAGCTCCCTTGTTTCATCATAAACGCTCTCAAGGACCAGCCAACCAACATCCATCCATCAATCCATTTTCCGATCCGCTTATCCTCATAAGGGTCGCGGGGGGTGATGGAGCCTATCCCAGCCGTCTTCGGCAGTCGGCGGGGGACACCTTGAACCGGTTGCCAGCCAATCACAGGGCATACAGAGACGAACAACCACCCGCGCTCACACTCACACTTAGGGACAATTTCGAGTGCTCAATCAGCCTGCCAGGCATGTTTTTTTTGGAATGTGGGAGGAAAACCAGACTACCCGGAGAAAACCCACATAGGTCCAGGGAGAACATGCAAACTCCACACAGGGAGGCTGGAGCTGAAATTGAACCATCTGCACTGTAAGGTCGATGCACTACCAACCAACATTTTTCAGAAAATGAACTGTATGTTGAATTAAGATTTCGACCGATGATATGATTTCACAATCTGTTCATTTTGTATATCTTCCTGATGCTGTCCATGGTCTCAGGGAACTGCGGACTCCATGTCAAACGTAAGCTACAACCATGGCTGATTGCCAGTCAATCATAGGGCTCAGACAGCTGTACAGAACATTCTCACTGTCATTTAGCAGAAACTGAATCCACGTTATCTATGGCAAAGCAAATGTAGTAATTTAATCTCATTAAAAATAAATAAATAAAAAGCGTTAATATACCGGTTTATGAAGCTGCATGAGTCAGTCATGTTGAGGGCTTCAGTTGCACTTTGCTGGGCATCCATGAGCAGTTTCTGTTGCTCCTCCAGCGCGCCCACGCCTGCATGCCAGCTGTTTCGACGCTGGCTTTGCTCCTCGTCCAGCAGCTGCTGCAATCTCTCACGGTACCTGAACACACCACCCAAATGAAGCGAAACTGATCGAGTGCCAGCCAGGGAACACGTTGACAGAATGTTGTGCTTGCGTCCTAAATTTACAGGTTTGTTTCCAAATCAGCCAAGTTGTTAATAATGGAGGTGCCTTAGTTAATTTGCGAGTCGGTTCGGTAAAAAGCTCCACTGGCCCTTTTGTTGGGCTGGCCCCTGGGCCAACGAAGAACACACCTCAAACTATTTCAGTCCTGGGATCCCTTACACGGGAGAATGTTTTCTAAGGAACTTCTCAAAATTCAAACGTCAATTACACACAATGTCAATGTGTACCCCTAAATTCCATAGGAATGAAAGAAGTTACCTATTTTGCCCCCACCCCCCTCAAAAAGTCAAAATGCCACAGTCAGGAATTCACATTTGTCGATATAAAATAAATCTTATGAGATTTAACCCTTTCATGCACCCTGTAACCTGATAACATGATAAACTGTCCACTTTAGTAACTGCTGTTCCTGAAAGGGTTAGATTGTATTTTTACAAAATCCAGTCTTAATCTACCACCAAAGTCATTGTTTAACAGCAGAGGAAAATTCAATTTTAGTGAATGAATACATTTTACAAACATAGCATTATTATCTTGTTGGACGGTCTATGCATCTCAAATAAATATGAACCTAAAAACAAAAACCTGATAAAAGATCAAAACATATCTTTCACATTTTTGTTGTGAAATTGCGAGTACTGTATTTTCCGCACCATCAGGTATTTCGGAGTATGAGGTACACCTTCAATGATTGGCCTATTTTAAAACATTTTTCATCGATAGGGCAAACTGCATTACAAGGCGCATAGAATAGAAGCTACAAAATTGGCTGCGGTTGCATCATGCATCCACGAGATGGAGCCACGCTAAAGGGAATACAATACAATACAGCTTTATTTATAGACATCTTTCACAACCGCCGCAGCTGTAACACAGTGTTTTCCAGAACATTTAAAATCCTACATTCAAGAAATCAGAATATTGATCCGTATAGAAGGCGCATCGGATTATAAGGCGCACTGTCGACTTTTGAGAATATTGAAGGCGTTTCGGTGTGCCTTATAGTGCGGAAAATTTGGTGCATGTAGAACCTTGCTTCACTGCCTCCTCAAAGTTATACCGCTTCAGCTAAGCCTGCCTCAGTAAGGGTAGATTACTCTGGCTCCTTGTTGGCTCCTTAATTTGCATACTGTAAATAATGATTGGGTGATGACTGCATGGGGAGAGAGTCGCACATTGCATAGGGGGCAAAGAGTTTAGGGAAGCTTGTGCTGATTTGATTTGAGGTGACAAGGCATTTGAGGGAGTTTGCGCCTCATATCCCTGCATATCCTGTAGCAGGCCCTGGGTCGGTTTTCCAATCACTAATCAAACTGTCAACATCTCCCCATCCCAAATGACAAATGAAACATTTTCATTTATTCCAGTGTTGTAAGTTCGACCTCGGAGGCGAACTTTCCCTCTGCTGAGACCAGTTATGGAATTACTGTATTGTTTCTTTCCTTTTGATTCAGTCATAGACATTTCTACAGCTCTGACAGGTGTCATCATGGGAAAAAAAACATTACCTCAGTGAAAAAAAATGCAGACAAACAACGTATGATTCCAATGACTGCCTGGTGCATTAACAGGCATGGATTTTTATCTGCTACCGTCACTCCCTAATCTTGCTCTTCAAGTTTGAAGACACAAAGGGAAAATCTGCATGTGATATCTGTGTGAAAATAATTGTTCGGATTAAAACATGTCAGGTTTGAAATGGCACAGTGGTCAAATAACAGATCCAACCCAAGCCCCAAAAGGGTTGTCGTCCTATTTTTCTGATGCATTATTTGGATTATTCCAAAGCAAGGAACCCATATTTGGTAACTTAAATTTCTAGATGTAATAAAAACACTGGCCAACTGCAAATTTTCATCAGCTTTATATGGCTTTATATGTGCATAAGTGTATTTTCGACACTGTTTTCTAAAATGTCCGTATAGCACATCTCATTTAAATGTCTGTCTATCAGATTTTGGAGACACTGTATTTTCAGTTTTTGTTTTTAGGTTAGCGTTAGACCAATAAAAGCATGCATTATACTGATTTTATCAACCATCCATTCATTATCTGAACCACTTATCCTCACATGGGTCATAGGGTTGCTGGACCTTATCCCGGCTGACTTGGAGGCCATACCCTGAACTCATTGGCAGCCAATTGCAGGGGACAAAGAGAAAAACAACCATTCACACTCACACCCAGGGAAAATTTAAAGTGTTCAATTAACCTACCTTGCATGCTTTTGGAACATGGGAGGAAACCGGAATACCCAGAGAAAACCCACGCAAGCACAAGGAGAACATACGAACTCCACACAGGAAGGCCGCAGCCCAGATTTGAACCCTCACCTGCTGTACTGTGAGGCTGATGTGCTAATCAGTCAGCCACCATGCCGCCCATGGATTTTACCACAATGTAATTTACAACTTTTGGAACCTAACCCTTACTTGATAAATATTTGTAGATATATGACCATATTTCTCATTATTATTATTATTATTATTATTGTTATTATTATTATTGTTATTATTTGCATTTATTATTTGTAGTATTCTACAAAAAGCTGATGTGCGATGGAAAATATATCTAAAAATGATTAGCCTACTTGCATGGTTGATTAAAACAAAAAAAAAAAAAAAGATTCACAATGTTTTGCAATGCCCTACAAATGTGGCCCGTATGGGCTAAATGTCAACCTCAGTGTTGTAAAAGATCTGAAACTTTGAAAAACAGGTTGTCCACCTTGTCTACCTGTATGCACTTGACCCAGATCACAAATCAGTAAGTAGGCCATTTCCATTCATTTGACAAAGTCACAACCTTTCACAAAATGAATTCTGGCGATTTGTTATCAGTTCTAGTCAAGCGTGATCCGCATTTTTTCCCTGTCCCGTTGGGCAGGCTTTCCAAAACTCCTAAATTTTAAACGCATAGAATTATATTACAAAATACCAACGCATCAATGCAATACAGAAAATGTTCTTTTATTTACTAAGTGTGGTTTATCTTTTTTCTTTTTTTCTTTTTTGTCTGCTTACCCTTCTACCAGCCTTGCCATGACTTCCACCGTTGTGACAGCCTTTTTCACCAATTTGTCTCCAACAGCTTCCGAAAGACCCTGCTGCTCCTTCACTTTCTCGACCAGGAAGTCAGTCATCTTTAGCCTGTTGGAAACCACCTGCACATGCACGTTTAGGAACACAAATGAACCTATGATTAAATGGTGTCACTAATCCCTCATACAATCATTTCATTACATACTGATAGCATGACTGTCCGAGAAAAGTACCAGCGAGGAGTAAAATTTACTAGTGACACTGCAGTTTTTCCAAATGTCCAAATCCCCTCTAACTTCAGAAATTTCGATTTACGAATTAAGGTTAATTTGTCCCTCTCCACATACTGTAGTGCGAGTGCTGCAGCATATCATTGTAATTACTAAATAATGACATTGTTATAACAACGGTAAATGTTTTAATTGCTCAATTAGTTTGTAATGCTCTATTCGCAGTGTATGTTAACTTGAGGGACTATTTATTAATTTGACTGATTTTTAGTCAAACACAGTGGATATACAGAGCAAATGAGACAAGCCACAAATTCACTTTCACAGCTATAGGTAATTAAGATTCTTTGGTGAGCCGAACGTGCATGTTTTTGGTATGAGTGGCCGGAGACTATTATGCCACCCGTCTGTCTGTCATTTGTTATTCATTCATTTCAACAAATGGTTTTTAGATGACCTTTAAATGGTGATAATATAAACTGCCTCTTAAATTAATTTTTGGGAGATTATTTTAAAACATCTTTACATGTCAAATTTACCTTTCATGTGCAGCTCAATGATGATGAACCAAACAATTAAAATTTAATGATGAAGTGTTCTCATAGGCAATCATAACAAAATAAATAAACATTGATTGTGACTTTGAGTGAGGAAAGCAGTCTGGATTACTGACCTAATTAGTCGGGAATGTAACAACGTGATAAACATGAACCCAAGAGCCCTACCTTGCTGCGGACCTCGAGGGCATGTCTCATCTCCCCCTCTGCAACGCTGAAGGTGAGAAGGTCATGGTTATGGTGTAGGCCCTCCACGAAACACTTGGAACACAGCAAGGCCATATCGGTGGAGCAAAAGTACACCAGGGGACAATGGTGGATGTCACACTCCTTCCCCGTCTGTGACTCCGCGACCACAGGATACTCGTAGAGCTCGTCCGCCTTCGGCTGGTTCTCCACTTTAGTGTCCAACGTTGATGTGGATGCTATGTAGCCATTGATGATGCTACTTAGTTTGAAGTTCTTCTGCAGGGATTGAACACCCTGAAACTCCAGGCGACATTCCGGACATTGCAGGGTCTTATCGGCGTTGTCGATGGTCTGCATGATGCAAACCTGGCAGTAGTTGTGGCCGCAGGGGAGAACCACGGGGTCCAAGTAGAGCTGAAGGCAGATCGGACAACTGAGCTCCTCTCGCATGGAAAAACTCATGATGCAAGGAGTGGGACCGGGTCTGTTACTAATAATTGCTCATATATCCGCGGTTGCTGTTTTCGGTCTTTTCAAAAGCCACTGGGACTCTCGCGATCAGCAGCGGGCTGAGATACAGGTAAGGCTGCAAGTGAGTCCAACAAGAAAATGAGAAAGTCAGTAGCTCTTGTTTTCATTTGATAGGGCAGCGCATGCACATGCGCACCAAGAAAAACAACATTCCTTTCTCGTGCTCCAGGAAATCCAAATGCACTATGAGGGTTGTTTGTGGTAAAAATATGAGAAAAAAAACGGATCTAGGCTCCTTTGACACAAATTGTACTCTTTCTGGCTCCTCTGAAACAGCTCAGAGGTGCTACATACATCACACAAGCAAATGAATTTTGCTGATTGTTCTGCTGGGATGAGTTTTTCCTCTTGGATTGTTGTTGATCAGGAAAGTTATTCTCCTCAAAAATGTCATATTAGATGAATGCTTTTGTAGTTCAACACTGGCAAATGTTGACGCGTTGCTCGGAATTGGGTGCACAGTAAATGCGGGAACCTGCTTTAGTACACACATTTGAATCACACGGACCAGATGACTCATGTTGAGGGTAAACATGGTACGGAGAAACCCTTGGTGTTTTCACAATGAAAGCCTGTCAGCAGTCACTGTCAGATCAGGTGACAGCGGAAAATGTTACTCATAAAAATAGGGAACAGTTAGCGTCATATGACGTTGTTAAAATAACTACTAGGTCAAGGACATGATATTGACAAGGGTCCCAACAGTTAGACAAGGCAATCGTGTCTTTCTGACCTGTCTGATGCAATCGCACTTGTTACACACGACAAGATGGCGCCCGAGTAGGCAGCCTTCTGCAAGTGCTCTTCAAGAGCCTTGCTGTTTTGTTCTTTTTTGTTGTTTTTGTCTTTTGTTTTGTCACATTTTGTTTGTTGTTTCATCGTGTGGACCTGATATGGACTGTTTTCAGCGTTTTTTGGCCACAACATTCGTCAAAGGAGAAGTATCTGTGCTTGGTGGTTGCGCCTTCTCGGCAGCACGCCTGTACCAGCACGGATTTTGATTGGGAGGAATGTCGGCGCCATTGACTGTCGGTGCTGGACAGACCTGGGGCGCTTGTGTTTTTTGCGCCTGTAATGGGCAGCATTTTTCACAACCCCGTTTTGTTCAGTGGAGATGTCGGCGCTGTTGCTGAAAGCAGTCGGCGCTGTTGGACAGTCGGCGTTGGTGCAGCTGGATGGATGGCTGGAGAGAGGAGCGTTGGCGCAGAGCGCCGATGCGTATTTGGAACCGAGAGTCGCCGCTTGGAATTGAAATGGATTTCCATGGGACAGGAGAAGTGAACCAATCTCTTTTTTCGTCAATGGATGCTACAGCTTGTTGACTTTGAAACTTAGCTTGTAGCCAACGTGTGCACATTTTGAGCATGACGTCTCTGATCCACTGGTGAAAGGACACTTTGATTCTCTCCTCTTTCATCTCAAACTGCTTCAAACAACAAAGCGTGTCCCGGAAAAGTGGTTAGGACTGCACGACTGTCCGTGTTTTATGTTATGTGTTGTGTTTATTATTTTACTTTATGTTAACTGTTTTGTTAAGCGCTTTGTTACAGCTGCCGCTGTTGTGAAAGCGCTATATAAATCAGCATGTATTGTATTGTATTGTATTGTATTGTATTGTATTGTATTGTATTGTTAGGGCAGGTTCAGTTAATATGAACTCTGATTGATTGCTCTGATTGTTTGTTTTGGTCAAAGTGTGAAAGCAGTCTTTTTTTTTTTTTTTTTTACCCTGATGCACACCAAACAAGTTGACACGGACCGTTTGAGGAGGTGGTCTCTGGTGCGATATGTTTCACGGAAGACTTACACAACCCAAAGACATGGCCTCGTGCTAAAAAAACAGCAAACACTGTCAAGAAATTCGGAAAACCAACTGACAATACAGATCGACAGATGCATCAGAACTGCGATGTACAATAATCAGTGAAGAAGGGTCGGATTGAACTTGGCCAAATCAGGTCTGAACAAGGTCTGAACATGGCCACGTATCTTCACATCCATCCATTGCTCCAGTTTCGATATCGCGTTTGTCCTCATGAGCGTCACGGGTGATCTGGAGTTCGTACTATCAGTTGCCTTTGGGCAAGACACAGTGCGCACCTTGGTTTGATCAACTGTCAATCAGAAGATTAACAAAAAGAGTCATTGATGAACCGAACACACATGGTTGGTAAACAATTCATATTCCTACATGAATCTATCTAAAAAGTAAGAACTGTAATGGGAGCATTAAAAACAACATTATAGTTCCCTCATAGAGTTCGAATCTTACTGTGTGAAATTATTGCAATCACATTTTAATCCAAAACCAAAAATAAACCTGGAATCCCATGCACTTAACCACTCAAAAAATAAGTACCGCAAATGTGAGCAACATTTTATGCTCCAAGGCAGGATTATTATTATTTTTAATGGACAGATGTGTATATCTGGTAACAGAATTTAAAATTAGTTGCTTTAATCTTGACATAATATGATCTCCTTTATTTGAAGAATTCAAGATGAAAGACTTGAAATGAAATCACATTGAGAAAGAGATTAATAAGAAAAGAATAAAAACAAATGGCTACATTGACGCTAATTAGACTTTGCTCATGTAAATGTTCAGTGGGCTCAATTGAAGAAGGGAGTGGGCCATATGAAGGCCAGTGGGCTATACAGTACTCTTCCACACCTAGGCTCCTACTTTGTATTAAATAAAAATGAAACGTGAAAAAAACAGCAGACTGGCAAGTGTTACATAAGACACAAACGCACAGTTGAGGTAAGCATCTTGGTCACAGACAAGACAAGTGATAATGCAGAATGTTGACGTTCAAGTTTTGAATTCCGGTTTATCACATGATCAAATCGATCTTACGCAAGAAAAAAAAAAAAACCTTTGGATCCTTGGATCTGCATATTGTTGAACCAGTCTTGACCTGAAATGACAAAACTTCAGAAAACAATTAGCCAATCAAGCATAGAATGAAATTGAGTAGAATCAAAGCTAACGTTTCCACACTCAAATAAGTGCATTTCATAATTAAGAAAATGAAAAAAAAACTAACAAAAAAACTTGAACTTGATTTGCAGAATTTGCTAAAATCGTATTTTCCTCACTACAAGGGGCTTCGGAGTATAAGGCAAACCTTCAATGACTGGCCTATTTTAAAACAATTTTCATATATAGGGAACACTGCATTATAAGGTGCATAGAATAGAAGCTCCACTAACGGCTGCGGTTGTGCTAAGCATCCACTAGATGGAGCTACGCTAACGGGAATACAATACAATAAGATGTAATACAATACAATACAGCTTTATTTAGATCACTTTTTTGACCAAAGATCTACTTTTCGATCAACCAACCTCCCGTGATCGACCCGTTACTGCTCACGCATGCATACGCTCATACTTACACACGTAGTTACACACGCATGCCATAATGAGCAACAGCCATAACGGCCTCTAAAATGAATGAAACTGAAAAATAAAGTAGACACAAGAGTTTATGAGTTTGTGTAAATAAAATCACTGCAAACATTCGTTGACACCTGACGTGGAGGGATGGGACGCACTTTTGCAGCGTGTTAACTATCGTAGCTCACTTGTACCATTTGCTTCTCTCGGCCCTCCAGGTTCCCATTTTTTGCCAGTACCCTCGGTGAATTGTTCACGAAACTAACTCTGAATGAGAATAATAATAACAATAAAAGATAGAGCGCAACAGCTCTGCCCGCAAGCTGCAATTGCAGACTGCTGACCGCTAACAACTTTTGGTGATGCAGATCATGGGCCACCGTAGGTTAAAGGTCGATCGCGATCGACGTATTGGGCACCCCTGATTTAGATCGAGCTTTCACAACCGCTGCAGCTGTAACAAAGCGCTTTGCAGAACATTTAAAATACTACATCCAAGAAATCAGAATATTGATCCATATAGAACGTGCATCGGATTATAAGGCGCACTGTTGGCTTTTGAGAAAAATGAATGCGGAAAATACGGTACACCTTAAACCTAGCTTCACTGCTTCCTCAAAATTTTGTGTCAAGGCATTTCCCGATGCATTGTGCTTATATAATGGCGTGTTTCATAACACTTGTAGAATTTGATTCCGATTAGTCAAGCAGCCTTCTTTTTTCTCTTTGGATGGTTATTTGTTCTTTTTTTTTTTACCACACAGATGGCGATCGTGATGAGTCAGCGGATGAAGAGATTATATCAGAGTGGTGCCAGGCCAAGATTGTTTGCCTAGTAGAACCTGGGAGGGCAGGGTGAATCCAGCAAGCAACTTCAACATGATATGAATCTGAACTTGAATTCGGGCTTCACTTCCCCTGAATTTCAAAATTGTGAGCCGTTGACCTGAATGAGTTCATTCATACCTGACTACACTCTTCTTGAGCTAAGCGCATCATTGTCCAAAATATGACAACCAGAAGGCATCAATAGAGCACTGATATGTCCATTACTTACTGCCCTCTGGAATTTGAGGCGCTAATTCAAGCCTTTAGAGATATGTAAAGATATTACATAAAAATATTCATTTCACGTTGAACACATATTGATGTATTTCTTTGTATTTTCAATTTGTAGACCAAAATGTATTGCTTCAACGTACTTCCTTGACACTAACGGCTACGGTCGAATTAGCTAGGGCTTTGTCACCATCTTGTAAGATCTTTGAGTGTTATAGTAAGAGTACACGCACACACACACACACACACACACACACACACACACAAAACTTCAGTTGGTTATTTGTGGGTTTGTGACTAGCGAGCTGCAAATAGGTGGGGTTTCTCTAATTGTTTCCATGCATGTGCCGACCATTTCCGCTGGATGGCACATAGGAGGTGCATCAATCAGTCACAATGATTTGAAATTCAGTTGTAAATTTTACAAGGAGAAAAGTGCAGTAAAGTTAAAACAGGCCAACTATGTGCTCTTAGTTGTCGACAGCAGCATTTTAGACCGGTGAGACAAAGCTTAATTCGGCTTGCAGAAGAAGTCTTTTTGGTTTGTGATGAAAGGTGTACGCTGTGCCTATGACAAGGCACAGTTTGTTTACACACAAGGCTATGCAGAATCTCGAAGTTAGCTTTAAAATGTGAGGTCCGGTATTGGCAACTAATATATGACAACATAA